CCGCAAGCGGGCATGGAGCCGCACTCGTGGGAGTTCAAGCCGATACAGCAGGCCGAGCGTGTGGCCGCCGGGTTTCTGACGGTGGGCATCCTGACGTCGCTCATGGCGGGGGTCTTTTTCGTCATGAAGGAGGAGACCAAGTGAGCCTGGCGACTGACTGGCTGATGATGGGCCCGTCTGATGAAGTTGGTGTGTTTTTTTCCTCTTCTCTACATGTAATTCGGCGTGGCGTTCTGGTGCGGCTTTGAAAGTCCATGACGGTGGGAGCCCGGGCAAAAGGACGTGGGCTGGGCGGCAGGGGCTGGATCACAATGATGGCTGGAGGTTTAGAAAGCCTACCGATACCCAACGGCTGGAATACCATTATTATCCCTTCCTTTTTCATTGGGAATAGTTCCTCTCGTGTCTTTCTTCGTGATGAATCATGTCTTGTGGTCGAGCATAAACTAGACTGTCGTTTCAAGGCTGTTGACTGTACGGATGTGAGTGAAGTTGCAAAACGGAGGTGTAGCGATGGCACATGCAGGGCATTCGAACCCATGGCTGTGCCCCCCCGCCTTTGGCACATGCAGTAGAAGGAAATGGTGGGGTGTGCAAGGGTGGATACACGCAGGCCCACAAGACATGGGCGTTGCGTCGACGATGAAGCCATGGTTCTGAAGGTCACAGTTACTCGAGTGCCAATGCATCGACCGAAGCTTCAATCTCTTACCATCAGAAAAATACATCAACACACAAAAAACCACAGCGCCGCGAACATCCATGAAAGCCCAAAGACGACTCGAGCCGAACAAGTACCCGTAGGGCGGATGCAGGACTAGCAAGACCCCAGGCGCTTGCGATTGCCTAATGCAGCATGCGTCATCTTTCGGGCCCGTCCACCGAATTGCAGCAGGAGCTCCCCCGATGGGAGGGGCTGTTCTTGCCTTCGTTTGGCTGTTGGCGTCCGCCGGCGGTAGGTGGGATGGCACGACTTCCCCGCGGCCAACTCGGGCTCGCCTTCCCTCGGCGTGTGTTATAAGATTGTCAGGCTCGGTGTATAAGGTACTCTTACTCTTGGTCTTGCGTCTGTCCTTCAGCTTCTCTTGATCCCTCACTCTTCCTCCCTCTGTACCTGAGCTCCCCTCATTCCACCCTCCGGCCCCCCCCCCCACATCTCGACTGCTGAAGACGCACCAAAGAAGAAAAGAAACAGCAGCCATGTCCTCCAAACATTTCCTCAATGATCCCGCCAAGCTGGTGACTACAGCCCTGCACAGCGTCACCCTGACCAACCCATCTCTCGCGCTCGACACGCCCAACAAGATTGTCTACCGCCGACCCAGCGCCAATGCGTCCCCGCAGGTAGCCGTCATCTCCGGCGGCGGCTCCGGCCACGAGCCCTCGTTCGCCGCCATGGTCGGCCAAGGCCTGCTCTCGGCCGCTGTCGCAGGCACCATCTTCGCCTCGCCCTCGGCCGAGCAGGTCCGCACAGCCATCGCCGGCCGCGTCGACAAGGACAAGGGCGTCCTCGTCACCGTCATGAACTACACCGGCGACGTGCTCAATTTTGGCGTCGCCGTCGAAAAGGCACGTGCCGCCGGCATCGACGTCGAGATGGTCGTCGTCGGCGACGACGTCGGTGTCGGGCGCAAGGCTGCCGGCAAGGTCGGCCGTCGGGGCATCGCCGGCACGGTGCTCGTGCACAAGATTTCCGGCGCCGCGGCCGCCCTCGGCCGCAGCCTGAAGGAGGTGGCGTCCGTCGCGAGGCTCGTCGCTGAGAACCTCGTCTCCGTCGGCGCGAGTCTCGAGCACGTTCATGTGCCTGGCCGCGCCGTCGGGCAGGAGGACGGGCTGGAGGCGAACGAGGTCGAGCTGGGCATGGGCATCCACAACGAGCCTGGGTCTGGTCGCGTCAAGGGCGTTGAGCTCCCCGAGCTCGTGTCCCAGATGCTGAAGCAGCTCCTGGACCAGGGCGACGCCGACCGCGCGTTCCTCCGTGTGAACTCGAACGAGGTTGTGCTGCTCATCAACAACCTTGGCGGCGTCAGCGTGCTCGAGCTTGGCGGCATCACGGCCGAGGTCGCGGCGCAGCTTGAGGGAAGCTACAACATCAAGCCCGTCCGCATCCTTAGCGGCACGTACATGACGAGCCTCAACGGCAACGGCTTCAGCATCTCGCTACTCAACGTGGTCAACACGAACCTTGGCGGACCCAGCATGATCGAGCTGCTGGATCATCCGGCCGAGGCCAACGGCTGGGCGGCGCCCATTGCCAAGGAGACGTGGGAGGCCAAGAACACGGCCACGCGCGAGGATGACGCCGTCAAGGCTCTATCCGCCGAAAAGAGCAGGCTCGAGTATGATGCGTCTGCGGCGGCATCTACCGTCCAGGCGGCGCTGGAGAAAGTCATTGCTGCTGAGCCCGAAATTACGCGGTACGACACTGTCGTCGGCGATGGTGACTGTGGTATCGGTCTGAAGCGTGGAGCGGAAGGTACGTCTTCACGTCTTCGATCCCAAAGCTGACCTTGACACTAACGAATTCAGCCATTCTCGCGCACCTTGCCTCCAACCCGCTGACCGGCGACGCCACGCTGGATATTGCGTCCATCGTCCCCGTCGTGGAGTCTACCATGGACGGTACATCGGGAGCCCTGTACGCCATCTTCCTTAACGCGCTCGTCGGCGCCCTGCGCTCTGCCGGTTCCGGGTCTGCCGATGCCCAAGTCTGGGCCGCCGCCCTGCGCCGCAGCAGCGATGCCATGGGACGCTACACGCCCGCCCGCCCCGGTGACAGGACGCTCGTCGACGCTCTGGCGCCGTTTGTCGAGACGCTCGAATCGTCGGGTGACGTCGTCAAGGCGGCGGCGGCAGCTCGCAAGGGCGCAGAGAGCACAAAGGGCATGAAGGCGAGCCTCGGCAGGACGGTATACGTTGGTGGCAGCGGTTTTGAGCAGGTGCCCGACCCGGGCGCGTGGGGTCTTGCCGTCTTCTTTGGCGGGCTGGCTGGCGAGGCGGGCTGGGAGGAGGTGTAATGCACGGTTTGCGGATTTGCTCTGGCGGATTTGGATCTTGGGCTGTAGGATAAGGACAAGCTGTTGGTGAATGCATGGGATCGACCAGCGCACGCGGAGGACATCACTCGACGGGACTTGGATGGTGATAACAAGTGATCGTAAAAAGTCGAGTCTTTTCAACGCCAAAGTCGTAAACGAGAGGCCATCTATGTGGATCCCCACCCTCTGTCTGTTCAAACCCGTCAGACGTTTTCCATGCGCGTTTTCAAATCTCGTGGCCCCGGCTGCTGTGCCCCTTCTGGCGGAGACCTTGATCTCACTGGCGGTAGGGCTCGCGGCCCAGGCGGCTGGGCCCGTTCGTATCCTCCGCCATGACGCCGCGGCGCCAGAACCCCCCCCCCCCCCCCTGCCCCCATGGTTGGTATTTCCCGTACGCCCCTCACTCGTTGGATCTACGCGCTCAGCTCAGGAAAACCAGGAAAACCCTGTCCCCTCCTAAGAACCTGCAAAATGTCAGTGTCCGTGTCCCTGTCCCTGTCTGCGGGGTTACTGTCTGGGCCTTGGTGGTGGCCAAAGGGGTTGTTATTTTTTGGTATGT